TAGGTAGGTAGGTAGGTAGGTAGGTAGGTAGGTAGGTAGGTAGGTAGGTAGGTAGGTAGGTAGGTAGGTAGGTAGGTAGGTAGGTAGGTAGGTAGGTGTGTATCCACCTCCTTGCCGAGTATGTATGCATGTTGTGTACGTTATGTACGTACATACATACATACATACACATACAGACACGCACACCTGCAGAGGCCAGGCCAGGCCAGGCCCACCCCAAAAAATGGGATACCCATCTATCTATCCAACTCAATCTACTCGTATCTGACGACTCATTGTGCTTGTCACGCATGGCCCTTCTTCCTTTTTTTTTTGGCCATGTGAGTTTTCCCTTGTTCATCGTCCCCGTTCGCGTTCGCTTTCGCGTTCATCTTCGTCGACGGGATCCATCTCTTCTTCCTCGACCTCCTCGTCGGTCAGGAACGGGCTCCTTTCCAATTCATACTGTGGGCCTGGGACTCCCCGAGACGGCTCTTGCGCAGGCGGGGTGAGGACCATCCTGGACATTTGCTGTGGCTGTGTCTGAGTTGGCTGCATTGTATCGACTCCTGCCGTCCCAGTGGCCATGGTAATGGTGACGGAAGGTGTTATTGGATCGGGAGGCGTGGTCGTCCCTCCAGCAGTCGGGTACGGAGATAATGTTTGGGATTGGGTGAGAAATATGGATGGTGTCGGAGAGTGTGTTTGAGATTGAGATTGCGAGAGCGGCTGATTGGGAACAGCATCGTGAAACTGCTGGTCGATCTCTTCCTGGGAATGCGCGCGGGACATGCCTGGTCGGTCTTGTTTCCTGTCTACCAGGTCCTCCTCTTGGGGAAGATCATGTGAGTTGTTAGGTGCAGCATCGTTCTGCTGACCTTCTCTCGCTGTGGGCGACTCCGGCTTCCCCTCTGCTACCGACAGGTCTCCCGGGACGTCCTCTTTGAGCTCGACGTGCTCCAATGACTCCTCAATTTGTGCCAGGGCTGTTGCTTGTGCCTGTTCTAGCGCCTCACTGACAGGGAGCTTCATGCGACTGTCGATTGTTGAGGCGGAGTCCGGCTCCGAGGGGCTGAAGGCCTTCTCCACCGGTGAGAAGGGGGATTGTTCCACAATTCTTTGGCCGGTTGCTGTCGTTGTGACAATGGACGGCAGATTGGAGCTGAATTTGCCTGGTTCTCTTGTGCTATCACCACTACCCTCCCTACCACGCCTGCGCCGTGCTTTTGGCGTAGGTGGGGGCTTCTTGCCAAAATGGTGGCCCTTATGATGAGAGGGGATAGGAGGCGGCTGAGCCTTTTCTTGATCTTTCTCCTCCGCCGCCACCGATGAAGAGGCTACACCATGGTCCTTATGATGGTGATGGTGGTGATGGAAGGGAATAGGGGGGTGACGATGGTGATGGTTGTTGGATTGAGTACGAGCTTCAGCCTCCACCTTTGGCGCAGGCTCTGCTTTCGGTAGCTCTATCTTCGCAATTTCGGCATCGCTCTCCATTCTTTCCGCCTTCATACGCGTAAAGGCAGATCTCCTGGCTTGAGGCGGTGGAGGTTTCTCCTTCTTTTGCATTATAACTGCCCGAAGATTATTTTTCAGTCCAGGGTTCCTACTTGGGGTGATAACTCCTGGTTTTTCTCTTTGCGCTGCAACCTCCATCATACTCAAACTGGATTGTCGGGCTCCTTCGAGTCGAGGGGTGAGATACTGACCAATGGTCAATGTGGAGCCTTTGGACGAGTTTCGTTTCTTCAATTTCCGAGGTGCTGGAAGGGCCGGTGGGAGTGCTTTTGACGGAGAGGTTGGCGATGATATATCAGAGGCTCCTTCATCAATTGGAGATTCTGCTTGTACCGGAGGCTCAGTTTCCGGATCAATGAGCCAACTAACTCCTTCGCATCGCTTAACGAGCCGTTTAGTTGTCTCGTCAACATCGTCAAAATGGCCCCAATGCTGCAAACCCTCATGGGAGCCGTTTTGATCTGCAAGATTGCCCCCGCCCAAGACAACCAATAATTTGCGGATTTCGTCCCTCTTATAATGTGGAGGATATTGTAGTTGGGTATGTTCGAGAAGTGGATATAGAACTCGAAGATAGGTATGGCGTAAGGACGATGCCTCTTCAGGCAGATCCAGGAGGTTCCGAACCAATATATCAACCAAGACACGCAGGTCGTTGGTGTAGAAGTACTCATAAGTGGGGGGAGTCGTGAAGAGGAGGTAGAGCAACTTGAGGGTCAGAAGCTGCAACGAGGTTTCATCTGCTAACGTCAGTGTACAAGAGCCATCGTAGCCACGTTGGAAGACAATACCTTCACGGTTCAGCAGTAGGATAATGTTCTCCCCAAAGGTCTTGTACTCACTGCCGTGGGCAGACAAGACCTTGATCACCTTGTTGGTAAGAGGGACCGCAGCCTGACCATTGGCCGGGTCGTGAGCAGCAACCATGAACTGCTCATTGAGCACAAGCTGAATAAACAGTCAATTGCGTGTCGCTTAATCCAAGGACTCGGTGAGCTTACCAAAACTCGAATGGTGGGATAGTGATATGGGTCATTGACGTCGTCCGAAACCTGTTCGATAATCTCAAACAACATCTTGACAAAGTCATCATCGACAAGCGCTGTGTTCACGTGGCGAAATCAGTCTTTGCCAATGGGAAGCCGAGTGCCGTGTCTTCGAAATCGCCTACGTACCCAGGTCACCTATTTTAATCTTTTGTATGCGCGACATCTCGTACAGCAGCTCCATGAGCAGTCTGTGGATTCCTTCGTGGTCATGTCGCTTCGGACTCGAAATGAGATGGATCAATCTTGGGAATGCCCCTTCGTCGTTCAATAGCTCGTATGTCCTTTCGTGTAATTGCGCATGGGTGATGAGGAAGGACGTTGATACTAGCACGACGTTTGGCTCGTCATCCTGCGCGCGTAATGTATCAGCCTCTGTTTTGGCCTGCTTCCCGCTTTTCTTCCACCAACCTCGATCAGACACTGAATGAATTGTCGGCGGATATAGTCGGCGTGGGTCGCGAAGAGTGACGACTCTTGGAGCTTGAAGGCACAGCGAACGAGATCATTGTCGCTGAGAAGAAAGCGTCCTGGATTTGGTATGGGAGTACGATGAGCCTGGGTATCTTCGCTTCTTTTCTCAAGGTGTGGTACCACATACCCCGACAGAACCCAATGAGTTCTATGTAGGATCGCAATGTATCGTCGATGCTATCATGGGTAGTGCATTCTCGGGAGATTGTCTCTTCGAGAGCTAAAGAGTCAAAATCAGTCAGACAACCTGGTCCTGGACTGCGGAGGGGGGTGTGTTCGTACCGGTCCAAAACTGGTCCTCGTCCTCGAAGTTATAAGAAACCTCGTGTTCCATGCTACGTTCAGCTTCATATCGTCTTTGGTAGATCAAGGTTGGTCAAAGGAGCGTGTGCAGAAACAATTCAGATGCTCCCCTCATACGATCAAAGGCGCAGAGATGTCGGGGCAACAGAAGCGACCGGTCCTATAGCAACACATGGCGACGAAGGAGCTGTACTTGTCTGTTGTTACGGAGGGCGAGATGTTCACAAGTCACGGTGCTGGGTGCGGATTTGATGTGGAGCGAACTGATTCCAAGTTTGGGGTAGGATTTCGAGGACGCCAGAGGAGTTCCGAACACATGACATGACGCCCAACGTCACAATGTCTCTAACGGGTGACGGCAACGGGGATGCACGTGGGAAGAAGTGGGCAGGCAAGGCAGGCAAAAAAGAGCCGGCCACACAAGCTAAGACGCCTAAGCGGTCCAAGTAGGTGAACAGCATTAACGAGAAGCAACGTTGCTTAGGCATCGGCCCGGATCCCCGCGGGTCAATCAATACTCTTTCGCCTGCCCACGATCCTCCAGCGTGACCTAGCCACCTCATTAGGGGCACCCAAGGGGCCTATTAGCCTATCATTCTACCTTCTGGTACCTGTCATGTCTATGATACTGGGTAGCTATATGCAACCTAAAGCACGCTCTGTGTACCCGGTATACTTGTAGTCACTACACAGAAGTCCACCTCCACCTATATACGAGAGTGCCTCGTACGCAAATTCTCTTTTCAGCCTTCCGGTCCCGCCCCCTGTCCACAACAGGGGGACAATGGTGAGTTGCCACAACACACCTTTTTTATAGCGCCGTCTGTCGAGTCTGCTGATAAGGAAAGTATCCAGAGAAATGTAAGGTCCGCTGTCCAATTTGTCCTTACTCCAAACACCGTATAAATGCTGTGGCTATCCCAGACTTTTTACACAGAAGATGCTGTCTCCCTTGGTGTGTGCATATTCCGATTAGTGTCATCATAGACAAAATGATCACTTGGGTCGTTTGAACGGATGTGCTTCCGTATTGCTGCATCCATCTGGTTAGTCGGTACACCCTCAGCAGAGCCTTGTGGAGATCACTTACAAAACGTAGTCGTCGAGGCTGATCAAGTCCGGTTCACTGAACAAGAGATAGTAATATTTCAACGTCTCGGCGAGCCAGAAGGATTCCATAGAATCTTGCTGCTCCATCAGTCGGCTGGTCACGTCCCTGATGCCTGCGTGGGCAATCTCCGTCCTCGTTGCCTTGTCGACTGCGTTGAACATGGCCCATCCCTTGTCTCTCCAAGTCTCATCTCCTGTTAGCCGGTACATAATAAAGACTGACTCGATGGCCTCAGGTCGGAGTCGGTAGTCCCGCGCCTTGATCCGTGTATACCCCGGAGGTAGTCGCTCTTCCTGGATTTTGGCCGCAACATATTCTTCGTGTGACAGCGCGACCCGCGGTGTAAACGAGAGAGGGTGCACTTGTTTTGCGTACGTACCCGCATCATCCGAGGAAATCGTCTCTGTCCGTTCTTCTCCTTCGAAATCTGTCTGCGGGTTTCTCTTCTTCAAGCGGGAATCCAGATCCATCTGTGAGACAACGAACTCATCTTCATTATCCAGGACATCGTTCAGGCCAGTTAGTGGCTGTTCATATAGCTTTTGTTGATGCACATTGTAAGTCTCAACCGCCCGCATTCTTTCTTCAAGCCTCGGGTCCAGCGCTTCATACCATCTGCTTTCATTCCACTTGCACGAGGTGAGACTCTCGCAGGGCACAAGCTCGAATTCTTCGGCCATGACACCCACGGGTGTGGACGCGTAAGCCCACACGCACGCGTTGGTGAGCTTCTCCGCAATGACCATATCCGAAGGGATGTCGAACAGCTTAGCCCCCAGGCCAAACATGCCTCCAGCAAAACATCCCAGGTGCGTTCCCTCATAGATTGTTACTTTCCTCTTGGCAGGATCCTTGGCCTTGGGGGAGATATTCTGCTTCGCCAGAAAAAGAATATCATGGTTCTCCTTTGTCATAGGTCGAAAGAGTAATTCTTCCCGAACAATCTTCATGGCATCAAGGTATAAACGTTTGTACTGCTCATTCATGCCGCTCAGCAGCGCATATTCCTTTGGAAAGTATTCATACGTGGAATCCGCCATCGAACCGATCCCGTAGGTGTGGGTGGTCGATTCAGGTTCAGTGCTCAGACCTTGTGCTTCGCAACGCTCGTGGTCATCATTGTCTTCGTCGGCGTCGGCGTCGACTAGCGGCAAAGGCTTATGCTCAGCCGCATTGACCTTGCTATCCTTCATCGTGGATTTTTTGGCCGAGAGTGATGATGAAAGCTGTTGTCGCTTGGTCAATATGACCGAGGGGCTATCATCGGGCTCGCGCGAGCTGTCCGTGTCTGGTCCCTCCTCCGTAGACACAACTGCGCGGCTATCTTTCAGGCCAACAGAGGCGTCATCTTCCAACCATTCATCCTCATCGGCTGCCGATTTGGAAACGGCTTGGGGCTTTTTACAGCCGGATGCGTCCAGCTTCAAGGGCCACAGACCCGGGAAAGTCGTTTTCATCTGCCACTCCTCCAGGGCATTGGTGACGCGTGCAATAGCATCGTAATACCTGGTTTCCCGGGTAATTTGAGCCAGTCTCGTGAACTCAACTGCGAGGGAGCCTATTTCTGCCAGCACCGTGTGCTCACTGCCCCTGTGTGGCCGGGACATAGAGGATGGCGTCCAGTGATAAAAAACTGCAGGCATTCTGTTGGGCGTATCAAAGGCTCCCATCAGGATATCAGCGAGTTCAACCGCTTTGTCAAGCAAGACTGGATATTTCCCTGAGCTGAGATCGTAAGCTGCAATCAACCCTCCAAGATAGCGGATCGTCGTCTCGAAGAGAGGAATGTCTTTTCTTGCCGACGTCTTGAAGTCAATCTGGCTTACTGCCGCAACTGCATCGTGGAATTCATCGCGCAACCCCATGATCCAGAGAGCGTCCAACGAGTCCACTAGAGTCGCTCCCCACCCATTGAACGGATCTCCCACGTCTTTCGATATGGGCTTTAGCTCATCGTGAGGCAGAGAGTAGTTCTTATAGCCGAACCAAGCATGCTCGAACGCCTCCCGGATCACGGCCTGCTTCTGAAGGCGATGTGTCTTTATCGAAGGGTTCTCTCTCCCAAAGCTATATTGGACTTTGGGGAGCACCTTGAAATCGCTGTCAGTCGGCAGTGGAATCAGACTCTCTGCGGGTATTGGGAAATGCTCCTCTTGTTGTATCCAATATGCTCTCCCCTGTTCCACGGGCTGAGGATTGACTCCATGCCTGCTTTGTCCACGGTCACCAGCTTCTTCATCATCTTCATCATCGAAAGGCGGTTGTTGGGTAAGCAGCTCGTCCTTGGTCACGGTAGGCTGTGCAGCGGTCGAGGAACTCGAGAGCGATGAAGTGGTCACTTGTAGAGGTGGAGGTGCAGGAGCGGTTCCTGGTGAATTGACTGGTGGTAGGGCAGGATGCGCCGGTTGTCCTTGAGGCTGCTCAAGCAGTTCTGGCGCGGAAGCCGGGTCAGAAAGCGTCTCTGAGAAATCTGTGCTGGAACCGATTTGTTTAGTAGCATGATCGTTCCTCAGGCCCACCAGGGCCTCGAGTGAAGGGTTCTTCCAGTCACTGACTCGAGTCAGCTGGTAGACAGACACGATTGCAACCACAGCCACTAGCACAAACAACCGATAGCGTCGGAGACGCATCATCTTGCACCGTGTGTTTGAGCGGTCTCAGAGCAGGCGTTGGAGATCAGAGTCCGTTGACAATGTGTCACGGCCCACATTTGACAGACACTGTTTGGGGGACTGAAGTCCGCCGGGGGGGTTTTGATACAGCACAAAACCAACGCCAGACAGGGTCATGCCAAAGGACGCAGGTCCGGAGGTGATCGATTGGCACCAGGCAAGGCAGGAGGGGAAGTATGGCAGCCTTGATCCTCAATCTGTAATCTCCAAACGAACTTTTGAATAGGAGACTTCAAGTTCTGACAAGCTCATCCCGCAAGCATCTACCGTAGATCAACAACTTCCGGAGATGGCACCGATGGGTCTGTAGGATGATGATGGGCAGGATGAGTAGAAGCAGGAAGCGACCATTTGGCCGCAGAGGCCGCCAATCAGGCACCATTACGAGTTAGTTCATGGTCGTAGGGCTCCTCTCCACTAGCAACTGCGGACGCCAAAAGCTGACGCTTGTGGGGGGAGAGGCAAGTGGCACGAAGGCAGGAAGCGCAGGGAGGCATGGGAGGCTCCGTGGCTCCTCTGCGGGCTTGGCAAGTTTGTGACATTTTGATTAGTAGTGGTAAGTAAACCACCTGTGGCTGTGGGTGGCCTAGCTATTGCCAAAGAGCGGAAAACCAGAGACAACATGCACAGATACTGTGTAAGGTGTGAAAAAGGGCCCCCATAACGCAATCCAGACAAAACATGAAAGAAGCCAAGGTGGGCCAGCACATCCAGGTATCATCATCTCACATTGTCCCGTGTCATGTATGTCATTTTGTCTGGCCCAAAGCCCCCTCCACCGCATATCACGGCATCCTGCTCGTACCCAGTGCCTCGTCAGGGTTTCAGCAAGACACTGGCCTTCTTCAGCCTCTGTTCTAACTCCACATGAAATGTCTCGTGCCGACCGAGATGTTGAAACCCATAGAGCGGCTTTTTCTTCAGAAAATCGCCCACGATCGAAGTGAACACGATTACCTCTTTGACCAGACTCCCCAGCAGGTCCTGGTCTGGCGTGGGAACAGCTGACGGGACAGGGGTGTCGAAGAAGCCTGGCATGGCCTCAAAGTGGACTTGTTCTTGGAGGAACTGACACTCCATGTGCACAAGGCCACACTCCTCCAGTCTGCCTTGGCAAAGTCGTTCACACAACCGAACCAGGTGATTGATGATGTTTGAGAGTAGCAAGTGGCACGAGTAGTCAGCTCGGACCGATTTGCTGCGTAATATCCTTCGTACAGCAGCGTTACTCTTCTTCAATAGCTCAAT